CACTGATAGTTTATTCGTAGAGGAAAAAAATATTAGCTGTGCATGTGCCCTATTATATGTTTTAATGTCCCAAATCATTGGAATATTAAATAGAGATAAAGTTCTATAAAGACATAAATATTGTACCTTCCTTTTTGTAAATATATAACTTTTGCTTTGTTAATATGCATTGCTACTCTAAAAGCTTTTTAATTTGATGTATTTTTTAAAGGTGATTTTTCTCAATATCTAGATTTTTTTAAACTCTCAGATTCCATAATTTCTTGTAGGTGAATCTTGTGCAAATACTGTTCTGTCCTTACAAACCAAACTTATTGATTTTACCGATTTATTTACTTATCTATTTAGCTTACATTTAATACAGTTGAAGTCAGAATTATTAGCCCTCCTGTTATTTTTTTCATTTTTAAATATTTTCCAAACAATGTTTAATGTTTAACAAGGATTTTTTCACAGTATTTCCGATAATATTTTAAAGTCATATTTGATTTATTTTGGCTAGAATAAAAGCATTTTTTAATATCTCAAACCATTTTAAGTTAAATAAAAACACTGAAACAACACAATTCTTGAGATTTCATTGGGTTAACTTATTTTTTATGTTTAATCCACATGAACTTGTTATGTTGTTAGGTTGTGTTAGGTGTTAGGTTGAGAATGGGGAATCGTTAAAATGAGGTGCCCTGGACTTGCCTAATTAACTTGTCTAACTGACCTAGTTAAGCCTTTAAATTATACTTTCAGCTTAATACCAAAACTGTCTTGAAAAATATCTAGTAAAATACTATTTACTGTCATCATGCCAAAAATAAAATAAATCAGTTATTAGACATGAGTTATTACAACTTTTATATTTAGTAATGTGTTGAGAAAACCTTTCTTTTCAACAGAAATTGGGGAAAGATATACATGGGCTAATAATTCAGGAGGGCTAATAATTCTAACTTCAACTGTATTTCAGTATTAAGAAATTGACACTTACAGTATGACTGGTTTTGTGGACCAGGGTCACATTAAGTAATTTGTTTTGTGTTGTTTTGTTCTTTTTTCTTCTTCTTTAGGTTTACAACAACAGGTAATACAGCCTAAATGCACCAGCTAATTAACAACCAAACTAATTAAGAAGTAAACCAAACAAAATGCTTCATTTCCCATTTTTGCATGATTCTCACACACCATTAACGTTATTTTCCATATCTGATAGCACCTGTGAGCTCAGACAGCAGCACTGTGGGCACAGACAGCAGCACTGAGAGCACAGACAGCAGCACTGAGAGCAACAGGTTAGTGTTGACTTTAAAAAGAGTGCTGGATCTACAGTTTGACAAACCATTTCTATGCTGATGCAATGTGTTTCGCTATTCTCTTTTTCAGATGGGGAGTGAAGGAGCGTTTCTGTCTGTCACAGAATTAGAGATCACAGACTGATTCTCAACTGACCCGACAGACTTTTGTGCTAAGATAAAAAATTATAGTAATATTAAAAAAAAAAAAATTAAGAAAAACCTCTCTGAAAAGAAAGCATCTCTGAAAGCATTTGCTATATCAAGGTAAAGCTTAAAAGACTTTTGTTCTGCAGCAGGAAGTGACTGACATTTCCTGTTTGTTTGGACTGTTTCCTAGTTAAAATAAACCGATAACTTCCTGTTGCAAAAAACAAAAAAAAAAAACAAATTATAGTAATATTAAAAAAAAAAAAATTAAGAAAAACCTCTCTGAAAAGAAAGCATCTCTGAAAGCATTTGCTATATCAAGGTAAAGCTTAAAAGACTTTTGTTCTGCAGCAGGAAGTGACTGACATTTCCTGTTTGTTTGGACTGTTTCCTAGTTAAAATAAACCGATAACTTCCTGTTGCAAAAAACAAAAAAAAAAAACAAAAAAAAAACATTGAACTAAATTTGCTAGACTTCAGATTTATTAGGCACTATAAATAAATAACTATAAAATGCTGTACACATTTAGCCGAATTTGTGTTTATGATTGATAATAAATGAAATACCTATAAAAAATAGTAAATACCAGTTTCAAAATAAACCAGCCCAAAGGACTGTTTTCCTGCACATAAAATAATTGGAAGATAATGACATAAGATGTCTCACACTTTCCTTTTAAGTTACAAATGTTTGTGTTCAAAATTATTTTAAAAATAAGTCGGATATTGTTGGGTTTACTGCAGAGTTTGACTCCAAATGATAACAGAATTGCATTTTGTATCCTTCAATAAATTGCAGCATATCTACCCCACCTAAAAGGGAATATTTTTTAATTTTTATTTTAAGGCAATTTATATTATTTCAAACAACTAAAATGTCAATAAAAGCCACTTTTCACAACCGTAAATAAACAGAAAACAGTTCTGAATGATGAGTATTTCAATATTTTTTACAGTGCAGAGAACAATTTAACTTCAGTCACCTTTAAGACAAAGTTAGAAACAAATTGTATCTATATTCAAAAAGGTCCAGTAAAGGATGCCGAGCCTTCTCATATATGGCTCCTAAACTCTGAAATAGCCTTCCTGATAATGATCTAGGCTTGCTTAGTTCAAAACAAGATAAAGACCTATCTTTTTAGTAAAGCATACACTTGTATCATGTACACATGTAATGCATTGCATAATGTTATGATGCATGAGTGTGCTCCACGGAGGTGAGTGGCCTTGACAAACCACCCGTAGGACACACTCTTATTAGCTTAATACAGCAGGTACTTTGTTAGAAATACTTCTATGTTTGTTTCTATATTTGTTTGTATAACTTTTCATTTATAGCATGATTGCATTGACATTTGATGGCTCTTGTTCAAATACATAATAAACAGCAGCTACGCTAATTATTGTCTTTGTTCTCTATTTCCACCTGGGAATGCCCATCCCGAAACCTTCAAAATGTAGATTATTCAGCACCACTTGATGATAACATATCATTCTTATATATCGCTGGATTTTGGTTGCCATACTTGACGAACAAATGTCAGTATTTGCCGCCAATATGACATTGGTTTAAGATGTTGGCTCGATGCTGGATTTTGGTCACTTTCCAACACAACCAAAAATTAGCCAATTATAAACTTCATTTTACATTGTTTTTGGACATCAACATAACATTGTCCTTAGATGCTGGTGACCTAAAGTTAGCCTAATATCAATATCTTATGAAGTTGTTTGTCTGCTGGGCAGATGATGCCAACCATCGAAAGTTTAATGGACAACACATACACTTAATACACAAATGCATTTTATTGAACATGTACATAATTACAGTGCATTCAGAAAGTATTCACAGCGCTTCACTTTTTCCACATTTTTTATCTTACAGCCTTATTCCAAAATGGATTAAATTCATTAATTTCCTCAAAATTCTACACACAATACTCCATAATGACAATGTGAAAAAAGAGTTTTTGAAATTGTTGCAAATTTATTAAAAATGTAAAAGCTGAAAAATCACATGTGCATCAGTATTCACAACCTTTGGCGTGAAGCTCTAAATTGAGCTCAGGTACATTCTGTTTCCACTGATCATTCTTGAGATGTTTCAGCAGCTTCATTGGAGTTCACCTGTGGTCAATTCAGCTGATTGAACATGATTTGAAAAGGCATACACATGTCTATATAAGGTCCCAGGGTTGACAGTGCATGTCAACGCACAAACCAAGCATAAAGACAAAGGAATTGTCTGGAGACCTCCGAGACAAGATTGTCTTGAGGCACAAGGCTGGGGAAGGTTACAGAAAAAATTCTGCTGCTCTGAATCTCCAATGAGCACAGTGACCTCCATCATCCATAAGTGGAAGATGTTTGGAACCACCAGGACTCTTTCTAGAGATGACCGGCCAGCTAAGCAGAGTTATCAGGGAGAAGGGCCTTAGTCAGGAAGGTTGTCAGGGTTCTGCCACTCTGGTCTTGTAAATTCTTGTTTTAGTGGCAGAGCTCTGACACTACCCATGTCTGGTCCTGTTTCTGTCTCTGTGTGCACGCGCGCCGTCATGGGTGTACGTGGAGTGTGTGCGCTGCCGCTAGATGTGGCTGCGGCGCTCTGCGTCCCTCAGACGCGCGCACTCTTGTACTAGTGTTTGTGTTTATTCTGTCAGCAGCGCGCTGCTTTATTCTCTGCGCCTCCGTCTAATTGGTTTCAGTTTTGGTTGGCGCTGAGATGAAGCATGCGCGTTGCTTATGTGTAAGCGCACGGTAAGGTGTTTATCTATCGTGTGCTCGTGTCTTGCGTCTTTTGTCAAAGCACGTGGCTCGGTGTTTACATTGTGGTCACGTGCTTTTGTCGTGAGCTTCAGTGTTGTGTTTGTGTTGTCATGAACATGCGGTTAATGTGTTCTTTCACTGGCTGCATGTTCTTGTCCTGTTGTATGTGAGCGCATGGCTTGTCTCGTCTCTGTCATGCGCTCTCCCGTCTATTGTCTTGTCCCACCCACCTTGTTATCTTGTTTGTAAATATTATTTTCACCTGTCAGCCTGTCTGTTTATTGGTTTGTCTTTCCTATTTATTATCCTAGTGTGCTTTGTTCTGTGCTGGTCTGTTGTTAATTGTTTCCCTTCTCTGTTGTATGAGGTCTGTTCATATCTGTTCTACAACAGTGATTTAAAGTAGTGTGTCATGCCGAGATCGAGTCTAGTTGTGTGTGTATAGTAGTGTTGTGTTTTTCCCCACATGGGGAGATTTGAGTTTTGTTTTAGTTTTATTTTTTCAATAAATCCTTCACTTCCTGCATTTGGGTCCTCGCCTCCTCTCCATCCACCCCCATACCGTGACAGGAGGTGATCAATAACCTGATGGTCACTTTGTCTGAGCTCCAGTGTTCTTCTGTGGAGAGAGGAGAACCTTACAGAAAGACGACCATCTATACAGCAATCCACCAACAAAGCTGTTAGCTACTAGATAATTAGATAAAGTTATTAGTAACTAATAAAGTTATAATAACTAATAACCCTCTTTTCTGAATTTGATTATAATGTACTAATGTCCACCTTCTAAAGCTGCTTTGAAACAATAATTTTTGTGAAAAGCACTACACAAATAATCTTGCATTGAATTAAATTCTGTTAAATTACAGAAATGCAAATAAATTACCTACACATACTAAATCTGTGCCTTTGTATTCTTGCTTTGGCCCAGTGTGTGTCCTTGCTGCACTTATTTAAGAATACGAACAATCTGTACACCCCTCAGTCACGTGGTGCAAGACATCCAAGAGTACTTTTTCTTCCGAATGAGCAGCGAAAACAGAAGTTGACCAGATGCTGCTGTGAAAAACTGCATAACGGAAACCCAAGCAAAGACAAACACAATGGCCACAGATGGAAAAACCAAAATATTCCTCATTTCAATCGGGTTTTGGCTCATTTTCGGTGGGTATTAAATGATGTGTTAATTTTGTTTGTAATAGATCCTGTTTAGCATTTCAGAATGTAAAGATTTAGTGGTTGACGATGTTTTGATGCTCTATGCTTCATGTTTTATGTTAAGGTAAAACACTGTAGATGATTTATTGTTAATCCTGGATGTAAAAAATGTTCTGTGTTGTTTGTTTAGGTGTTGAAAGCTACAGTGGTTTGGATCATGTGTTAACTATTAATCCTGGAGGATCTGTCACCATCCCATGTCATTATAATGAGGAAACTCAATGGCAGATGAAATTCTGGTTTTCAGAAATATTTCAACTTCGTTCATACACAAACACAACCGAGGAGAATCTGTCAGTAATTGATCGTCCTGATCAGAGCCTCTATACTGTGACTATGAGGAACATCGAGAGCAGACAATCTGGATTTTATTACTGTGTTTTGGAGTCTGAAGGAAAAGAGAACACCACATATGAACTTTTTCTCATGGTTAAATCTGGTATGTGAAATTATTTTTATCACAGTGCTAAGTTACATCACATTCATGTAAGCAGTATAATCCTGAATGTCTTTTTTTTTCTGTGTGTTTCAGTTCCTGACGTGTCTGTGTTGAGCAGCAGTGTATCTGGACATGAGAGTGGTAATGTCAGTATTCAGTGTTTCTACAGTTCTAAATACAGGGATACACAGAAACAGTGGTGCAGATATAAAGATCAGAAGTGTTTCAGGGAGAATAAGACCAACATATCCCAGAGTTCATCAGTGCAGATCAGTGATGATGGTGAAAACTCCTTCACTGTGCTGATGACTGGACTGAGACTCTCTGATTCTGGATGGTATTTCTGCTCTGCTGGAAATCGAATCGTTCCTGTTCAACTCACTGTAACTGAGGCAGAACCAGGTAAACCAATTTCATATTTTGGTCACACTTTACAATGTTTCATTAGTTAATGTTAATTAATTAGTAAAATTAGTAAATAATTTACTAACATGAACAAACAATGAACAATACATTCACTACTGTATTTGTTAATGTTAGTAAACGTTAGTTAATGAAAATACAGTAGTTGATTGTTAGTTCATGTTAACTCATGGTGCATAATTAATGTTAACAAGCATGGACTTGGATGTTTATAATGCATTAGTAAATGTTCAATTATTAATTAATGCGGTACATGAGTTGTTCATGATTAGTTCATGTTAGTAAATGCATCAACTAATGAACCTTATTGTAGTGTTACCCATATTTAAATTAAATACTAAATAAATGAGTATCTTAGATAATAAATATTACAAAATGCTTGCACTGCTAGTGATATAAAGTTACAAACTGCAAATACTCAAATTACCGTAAGTAGTTGTTCTCAGGAATTGCTCTTTACTAAGCAATTAACTGTGCTATTATTCTGCAACCTGCACTTACTATGTAAATATTAGTCAAATATAGCACACATTAACATATCATGCAGTTTTAAAATTGTTTTTTATTTTTTATTTTAAGGGAAAATAAAATACAAAACTACATAGCCGTGTGTGAAAAAGTGTTTGGCCCCTAAACCTAATTACTGCTTGTGTCACTTTTAGCTGCAACAACTGCGATCAAGCCTTTTTGATAACTTGCAATGAGTCTGTTACAGTGCTGTGGAGTAGTTTTTACATACTTATTTTTGCAGAATTGTTGTAATTCAGCCACAAATAGAGGGTTTTCAAACATGAACCACTTTTTTAAGGTCATGCCACAGCATCTCAATTGTATTGAGGTCAGGACTTTGTCTAGGCCACTCCAAAGTCTTCATGTTAATTTTCTTCAGCCGTTCAGAAGTGAACTTGCTGATGTGCTTTGGATCATTTCTATTGCAGAACCCAAGTTTGCTTCAGCTTGATGTCACTTAATGGCCGGACATTTTCTTCAGGATATTTTGGTACACATCAGAATTCCTGTTGCCCTTTATCACAGCAAGTCTTCCAGGTCCTGAAGCAGCAAAACAGCCACAGACCATCACACTACCAGTACAACATTTTGATGTTGGTATGATGTTCTTTTTCTGAAATGCAATGTTACTTTTGCATCACAAATAATAGGACACACACCTATATATATATATATATATATATATATATATATATATATAAATAATGGGACACACACCTTCTAAAAAGTTCAACCTTTGTCTCGTCAGTCCACAGAGTATTTTCCCAAAAGTCTTGGGGGTCATTAGGATGTTTTCTGGCAAATGAAGATGAGCCTTTATATTCTTCCTGCTCATCAGTGGTTTTCATCTTAGAACTCTGCCTTGCAAACCCAGTCTCTTTCCTATGGTGGAGTCATGAATTCTTACCTTAACTGAAGTAAGTGAGGGCTGCAGTTCTTTATATTTTGTTGTGGAGTCTTTTGTAACATTTTGGATGAGTTGATGCTGTGCTCTTGAGTTAATTTTGGTCAGCCGGTCCACTCCTGGGAGGATTTTCCACTGATTCTTCACAGTGCCAAGTGTTGTAGAAATGGCAACATTTTCCACTCTGGTAGAACTCAATTGTTTTCTTTTTCAATTGTTTTTTTTTTTTTTTTTAAATTTCTTTGGATCTTGGCATGATGTCTAGCTTTTGAGGATCTTTTGGTCTACTTCTTTGTTGGGCAGGTCTTATTCAAGTGATTTCTTGATTGCAAACAGGTGTGGCAGTAATCAGCCCTGGGTGTGGCTAGAGAACTCGACCTCAGGTGTGATAAATCAGAGTTAAGCTGTGCTTTAATAGGGGTTGTAAACACTTTTTCAAACAGGACTAGTTTTGCATTTTGTTTTGCCTTAATAATAAAAACCTTAATTTCTTTGACTAATCTTTAATTTTTTTTTGATGATCTGAAACGTTAAAGTTTGACAACTATATGTTTATTTCTTCTAAGTAGATTAATCAGTCCAATCAAAATCAATTCCCATCCAACCAAATCACTCATAGAAAAAAAAATAGCATCAAACAGATCAACCTCAAGACACAGATACTTATTAAATGCAGCAAAAATGTACAGTAGGAAGCATTAAAAGTACAAGAAGATGCTAAATAGTCACACTCAACAACCAAGAGACTGTTTAGACTGTATATCACTAATGAGAAGATGAATGATACCTATTATATGATCACTGAAATCACCAAATGGCCTTAAACCATAATTAAATTCAGTACAGAATGTTACGTTTTCAAACTCATGCGCAAACATTATTAGGGCTGCAATAATTTTCACAGTGTAATATCACTAGTCTTCAGTACTTTAGAAGGGCTTTGAGTATTATTTAGATACTTTTCTCTACCTGCACTGCATATTTTAGCAAGTAATGGTAGAACTTTTACTTGAGTATGGCTTCTGTACTCTTTCCACCACTGGTTACACACAAATAAAATTGCTGCCTTGAATGTTTAAGTTTATTTAAATTAACAATCATTTTAACTTGCGTTATATTAAAGAGCCCCTATTATGGGTTTTTAAAAATGACAACATAGCTCTAAGTGAATGAAACATCCAGCTGAGGGTTAAATCTGAAAATGCACCTAGTTTAAAAATAAAGATTTTTTTAATAAAAGATTTGAGTCGATTAAATGATTCATCATTCGACTAGATATTTTGCCTTTTCGTATCAACAATGACACAAAACAATACCAAATATAAACTGCTTGATCAGGTAAAATGTGAACGCACCTTTACCTTCAAGCGCTAGTGGAGTATGGGCGTGTGTGGGACTGTTCCTAATGGAAGATAAGTGAACGTTTTGGTGGTTAATGCAATTATCTATCCTGCAACATGGGATTCGTTGGCCATCTGTCAAAGGAATGATCAGAAAATACTATTGATGTATGGGACTTTGTCAGAGCTTAACAGGAACTTTGTCAGCTCACAGTTCATGGATCAGTTTCTTCCTCCATTTTACAAGTGTAAGTGCGAATAAAATGGTTGCCTCCTTGTTTTCTCTAGTTTGCAAAATATGTATTTAATGTTTTTTGTTACTTGTAATTGCTCCACGCGGCTTGTATTGTATCTGGTCACTCTATATATTCATATATCCCGTTTAAAACCACATTAAAAACTCGATGCGTGTCACTTTCTTTTCCGATTTAAATGCATTTTTAAGTTAGTGACCCTCTGCCATGTGTTACTGCTGTGGCCCCCCTCAGCCATTCCAACACATGTGCTGTGGTAAAGTTTCAAAATAGTTGAGCTTTTGCCACTGTGTGGATTAATACTGGATGTGTGTCACTGTTTTTACTTACAGGGGATTTACTTATTGTTAGGTTAAGAATAGAGCAATATGCTGGTGTTTAACTGCATTGCTTTAATGCACTCCTGTATTGGGCTCACACATACACTCTGCACTCTTACTACTTCAGCAATGTTGAGAAGCCGTGGTGGGCATTTCTCTCCATCTTGCGCTGAACTCAGTCGACCAATCACTGTGTCAATCAGCGCAGATTAGTATCGTGCTAAGGAGGGGTTTGAGATAAAATTAATTGCTGAACGAATCATATGGGAGTAGATGGGATAGGTAAAAATGAATGCATTTAATAAGACAATAAAAGTCTGACCTTGCATGCATATCAGCCTGTTGTTGGAGACCCCCAAAACCAAAACATGACCTTTTTTAATGCAAACTAGGGGCTCTTTAAACTGACTTAAAACATAATCAAGTAAAATTTTATGTAACTCAAAAATGTTCGTTTCCTCTTTTGCACAGAACATGTGAACTTCAGCACAGAGTAGAATGGGCAAGTATTAAAACATTCTTCCTAAAGTTTTTAGGCAATTCAAAGCAAATTAAATGCATCTTAAGATGTTGTGTCTTTCTTTTGGTCTTCCTAACCATCATGTGACAGAAATGTTCCCTTCTATTTCAGATGGCGTGTCTGCCTTTCACACAACTACAGTTTTCTGCATATCGACCTGAACAAACAGATTATAAGAAAACCGATGATATTCATGATCTCTTTCTGCTTTACAGTTAGCCAACAGACTATTAATATAATAGTAGTATAAAATGCATTAGACCTATTCATACACTCCTAAATGCCTGAATGAATGCAATGCAGTTTTTAACTGCAGAACAACAACAAAAGATTAATATAGGAGTGCCTTTTTTCTTCTGTATGCTTCTAAAATAAAAATATTAATTCAAATTATTCTGTCTCATATGTCTTGATTTATTATGGTTAGTGTTTTTTTTTTCTCTAGTCATAAAGAAACACCAGCAACATTAAATATGTGGTTTTATCAGCCATAATCACCAGCTGTTGCATAAGTGGTTTGCTGTTTCTTCCAATAATAAAATACAATCTAATTGTGCTGAAGTTACATTTTTAATCATCATTCATTAGTTTTCGTTCAGCTTAGTCCCTTTATTCATCAGAGGTTGGCAAAGCGGAATGAACAGCTTATCCAGCATATGTTTTAGGATCGCGATGTCCTTCCAGCTGCAACCCAGTACTGGAAAACACCCACCCACACTCATTCACATACATACACTACGGACAATTTAGTTTCTTCAATTCACATATAGCGCATGTCTTTGGACTATTTACAATTTCTGAAAGACTATGGCTGCCATAGCATGTCTTTGAGCAAAGATGGTTGACGATGTTCATCCACAAGTTGGCGACAGAGACACACAATTAACCCTAAAAGAAAAACAATGTAATTTCAAACTACAGCTGGTTAAATCATTATTAAATGGGTAACTGATTATCTAAGTCGATCTCTCTATGTTGCATGTTGTAGTGCTATATTTATACCAGAGTAATATTGTGATCTTCCGATTGCAACAGAGAAATACTGGGAAATCACTGTAGACTGATGGCATTTCATGCTGTTCAGCCTTATAATCTTAAAATGTAAGCAAAATCACCTGTTTTGTCATCACTTTAGACGTTGCGCTAGAGAATCACTCAAATACTAGCTCTAAAGTGACGTTGATGAATGAGCAGCTGTTTCTGCTGTTCTGACATCAGCTGCAGTTGTGAATGATTTGCGGAAGAAAGTAGTTCCTCTTACAAAGGGCTTTTTAGACTGCCCGTGTTTGATTTTATTTTTGTATATACACTATTGTGCTGTGGAACTGTTCACACAAGTAGCAGTGCGATGTAGCTCTATATCACTGGTCTGTATCACTCTATATCACTCTCTGATGTAGCTCTATATAACTCGGCCTTCAGCCTCATGCCAATGCACGCCTCCCACCAACGCCAATATACAGCCTCATTGCACTGCTACTCGTGTGATATTGCTCATACAACCCATAATACTTATGAACATTTGACACATTTTTCCATTCTGTCATATTCCTCTTATTTGTGTGAGAGGTTGCAAATAATTAAGTGAAGACACGTGGAAGTTGACAGACCACCAGGGTGTCATTTGTTTCTGTTCTGCTTTTCATGTTTTACTACTAGACATTACAAACAGAACATTAAGGAGTATTTTTCCTTATTTAGCATGACTCTGTGATGTATCAGTATGTTAAAAGTGGTTTAAAAAGTGTAACCATAAAAGTGTATGCTGGGTGAAACTACATAAGCACAGCCTTATTTGCTTAAAGGTATTAAAAATAACAAAATAAAAGAAAATAAAAGAGGAAAGTTAAAACTCAAAGCATCTACAGTACAAGTGTGCTTAAAAGTTAAAATGTATCACAGTGGATGATGACAGTAATGCCGAGTTTATTCATTCATTCATTTTCTTGTCTGCTTGGTCCCTTTATTAATTCAGGGTCGCCACAGCGGAATGAACCGCCAACTTATCCAGTGAGTTTTTACGCAGCGGATGCCCTTCCAGCCGCAACCCATCTCTGGGAAACATCCACACACACTACGGACAATTTAGCCTACCCAATTCACCTACATGTCTTTGGACTGTGGGGGAAACCGGAGCACCCGGTTCGAACCAGCGACCTTCTTGCTGTGAGGTGACAGCACTACCTACTGCGCCACTGCCTCGTCGGCGAGTATTCATTTGTTTTATAATTATTATTATCAGTCAAAATGGGCTCATTTTCTAGAATTGTTCTATAATTATCTGTTATGTTGTATTGCTCTGTGTTTTTAAAGTGTCTTTGTCTTTAAAGCTTATGTAAGTCATCATTTCATCATTGCCTTTGGTGTTTTTTTTTTTTTTTTTTTTTGGTCTGTTTTTGCTGAAGTGACTTTTCCAAAACAAGGCTGAAGTCATCAAAGAACCACAAACATTCTTGTACATGTGCATTGCTTAACAAAATTTACCAAAAAGGAAATCTCTGCCATCCTTTCCTCGTCATTCACTTGTTCAAAACCTGTTTGAGTTTCTTTCTTCTGTTGGACACAAAAGCAGATTTGGAAGAATGTTAAAAACCTGTACAGTGTACAGTTTATGAGCTAATTGCAAACATTTTTGGGGGGCTGAGTAGAAATATAGGAGGGCTATAGTCCCCATAAAATAGGCCTGGCAATGCTGCCCGTAAGTTGACTTGCGGCACCGGTGTGCGTACCCTGCGTGGCGCGGCACATCCAGTATGCGACCCCCTTTATGATGGTCTTGCTGCAGACAGTTATAACCCTTTTTGCAGCCTTGTTGGAACTCACACTGCTTGCGAAGGAAGATTTATGTTAATTTGGCAAGCTGAACGCATCCTGTACTGTACAGGAGACACGGAGGAGATTGATCGACAATGGTCTCCTGCCAATCAGGGTGCAGAACACAGCTGTAAAGAACTACTGTATATGAAAAAGTAATTTCTCCCAACGCAGCAACTTCTATTTTTCTATTGATATTTGGTGCCAGTTTATCAGGAAGTGATGATTTTGTTCTCTAGTTGGATGTTTTCTGCGATATTCGAGTTTTGCACAAAAAATTATTATATTCTGACCTAAAATGATCTGAAACTTCAGTTGTGTAGGGAAGAGCGGGTATAGTTGAAACACAGGGAGAGGTGCAACACTACCAATTCCACAAATCAGGGAGGAGATAGGGGTCATGTAACATTTTCAGTTTTTTCAAGTTAACTTAACAATCACACATGGAGATTTTCCAGTCAGTCTTGCAATCTCTTCTGAAGCTACAACAGAAAATCTAAACCTGAGGTGAGAAAGTAAAAAAAAAAAAAAAACAAGTTAATATTTTGTTTAGTGCCGTTGTAGATGATGTTGTATAAGTTATATCAGATCAAACTGTAGTTTCTCTAGTAAAGAATGGTGTATCAACCTCCTGCTAATTTCAAAGCACCATGCTAATACAGCTAGCTAAACAATGGGTGACAGTGGTGGTGTAGGTTGAAACACGTGTTTTGAATGCATACAAACACTTACACACATACATATGAATGTGCACAAACAGACATGCACAAACAAATTCACTTGTGCATGCACAAACACACACAATATGCACATACACTTTCAATATTCACATATATTGTATTATTGCAGTCAATTATTTACAATAAAACTATTGTTGTGGCATATCACTAGTAACATTAGTTTTTGTGCATTTTGTCTACCTGTTACAACTTAGCCCAGTATGTGTTACAACTTACCCTAGTAGTGGGGTAGGATGAAACAAATGACCACTTTGTATTTGTCATCATCTCACAAAGTCTGTGATATAGTTTAAGAAATTTAAATTGTTGACGTTTGTAGTAGACAAATGTGGGTACTTTGCCTAAAAGTTTCAGTCATGCAGCTAAAAAAAAAAAACAAGAAAAATTGTGTTACAATCATTCCTGGTCTCCCCTATGTTCGACTATGTGTGCTGTTGTTGTAGTTCCACCTTCTTCTCAGTTTCCACTTTCTAACCTAATGTTTTCTTCAGTGGAAACAAAACATGCCTCTTATCTTGCGCTGACCAAATATAGACATTAGAGTAAACACAGTGAGTATTAAGCAAAAAAACATTAATATCTCACTTATTCTTGAGTAGACGGTTACAGTAATTCAAAATGAATTAAAGCTTCAGGTACAGATTACATTAATTTCATATCTGCGTATACCAGTGAATTTTAACTTGTCAAATTAAAGGTTTCAGAAGGGTTGTAATCTAATGTACTTACTAATTAACATTAGCCTAGATTAATTCATTTAGACCTTGAAATAGACTTTAAAGAGAGAGAAAGAGAAAAAGAAATACTTGATATGCTGATAACCGTTATTCGTCATTGACAGGGATGACTGATTTAGTCATTGAAATTTACACAATTTAATATTTAGTCACTGGCAAGAAAGGGAAGCAGATCAGCCATTACAAAACAACTAAACCACTCAGAAGCTGACAGAGAAACAGAATGGCAGCGTACGCAGCGGCAAAAATACTCTACCTTTCAGTCGGGTTTTGGCTCATTTTGGGTGAGTATTACATTTGTGCTCATATTCTAGTGTATCCTATACATTCATTTGTGATGACGGATATATAATGATCAGTTGTTGTTGCTTTCAGTGTTATAAATCAGGATACAACAAGTGGCTTTGTCTTAATCATGGATGTATTAACAGTTGTGTGTTGTTTGTTTAGGTGCTGAAAGCTACGATGCATTTTCAAGTAATAGATTAACTGTTAAGCCTGGAGGATCTGTCACCATCCCATGTTATTATGATGAGAAAAACACACAGCTGAAATACTGGTTCTCAGTAAATGATGAATGTAATACATACACAAACACAACAGAGGAGAATCTGTCAGTGATTGATCATCCTGATCAGAGTCTCGTCACTGTGACTATGAGGAACCTGCAGGAGAAACACACTGGAGAGTATCATTGTGGTGTGGTGCCTGGAGGTGTTATATATAAAATTTATCTGCAGGTTCAAGATGGTACGAGAGTAGAATTAATATATTCTTATTATAATCTCAGATTCTCTGGCTTCACACATATGCATTTTACAGTTTTCAATGTCTGCTGTCTGTGTGTTTCAGTTCCTGATGTGTCTGTGAAGAGCAGCAGTGTATCTGGACATGAAGGTGGTAATGTCAGTGTTCAGTGTTTCTACAGTTCTGGATACAGGGATAAACAGAAACGCTGGTGCAGATTTAAAGATGAGAAGTGTTTCAGAGAGAAGAAGACGAACACATCCAAGAATTCATCAGTGCAGATCAGTGATGATGGTGAAAGCTCCTTCACTGTGCTGATGACTGGACTGACACTCTCTGATTCTGGATGGTATTACTGCTCTGCTGGAGAACAAATCCTTCCTCTTCAACTCACTGTAACCACATCAGAATCAGGTAAAAAAAATTCAGTGATTCTTTGTGGTAGTTAAGATGCTATGCAGATGCTACTGTATGTAGCACTTAGTGTTAACTCTCTGATTACGAGCCAGAGAATCTTTTTTTTAGTGCCATTTAGCATAATTTTTAGGGTCTACTTTTATAAAATTCTAAATGTTGGCAAAACTCATGCCCTATTCAATATTGTATCTTTTTTTCGTTTGAAAATATATCTATTTTTTATTTTTGTGTTTGACAGTGAGTGTGAACACAGACACCGGCACTCACCCGGACAGGTAAGTATTAAAGAAATTCGGCAACATATAATGTCATATATGTACTTTCTCATTAATTATTTTGAGATACTTGTATATCCTTAATGAAACCTGTTTTAATCCTGTTTTTTAAGCATGACTAAAATATGTTATGTAATGTAAGGGTTTGATTGTGTGTAAATTAATTCATAATGTGAGACAGAAATGTTCTCTTCTATCTTTCAGATGGCGTTTCTGCCTTTCACACAGCTAGAGTTTCTGAACATCGACCAGAACCATCTGATGATTAAAAACTCATAATAAATATTTATATTCTGGTTTACAGTCAGTTGAACAAACTAGAGTACAATAATCATTGTTTAAAGTTTATTTGACCTCTATATTGGCTAAATGCGAATCTTTAAAAAAAAAAAAAAAAGAAGTGAATTTGTTTTTACTTTAATGCAAGAATAATCGATTATCTTCTGTATGCTCCTAAAATAAAAAGTCAAATTCAGATTATTTCCTCTCATCTGTCTTCATTTACTGGAGTAATTGTGTTTCAGCTCAACCAGTCAAAAATGTTTGAAAGGGCTTACATTAAGGGTTTATTATCTAGATCAACAACTATTGCATGAGTGGTTTGAAAGGTTTTATATTATGTAATACAATTTGATTCTTCTGAAATTATTACATGCAGTTGAAGTCAGAATATATTATGTTTTAGCCCTCATTTGGATTATTTTCTTTTTTTCAGTATTTATTAAATGATGTTTAACAGAGCAAGGGAATTTTCACAGTATGTCTGACAATATTTTTTCTTCTGGAGAAAGTCTTATTTGTTTTATTTTAGCTAGAATTAAAGCAGTTTTTAATTTATTAAAACCATTTTAAGGTCAAAATTATTACCCCCTTTAAGCTATATTTTTTCCGATAGTCTACAAAACAAACAATCATTATACAATAACTTGCCTAATTACCCTAACCTGCCTAGTTAACCTAATTAACCCAGTTAAGCCTTTAAATGTCACTTTAAGCTCTATAGAAGTGTCTTAAAACATTTCTAGTGAAATATTATTTACTGTCATCATGGCAACGATAAAATAAATCAGTTATTAGACATGAGTTATTAAAACTATTATGTTTAGAAATGTGTTGAAGAAATCTTCTCTCTGTTAAACAGAAATTGGGGAAAAAATAAACAGAGGGGCTAATAATTCAGGGGGGCTAATAATTCTGACTTTAACTGTATATACAGTTATATATATATATATATATATATATATATATATATATATATATATATATATATATATATAAAGCGATTGCAACAAACCATTGAAGTTGAAAAACAAATCCTAATGAGTACTGTGAGCTTAATCCATTTGAGTAAATAAAGCAATTTGAGCACAGCAAAACCCAAAAAATGAAGAGAACTCAAACTGTGAACCTACTCCATTTAGGTTGAAGTAATGAAATATTTAATTAACTCAATACCTTCAACACTGAGTTCAAAACTCCTTTCAAATGAATAAAATTAACTTTCAGTCATTTCTGAATTAACTACACTCATTTCATTTGATAAAGTTGACTGTTTGGTTTTACAGTGTATATAACATATCCTGGGTGTACATTTTGTAAGATTTACTAGTGTACTGATTTTAAGTGTACTGGTATTAAAGAAATGCAAATTGAAAATTTAAACAATACAAGGGTGAAACTAAATAAATATGTAAGGTGTATCCAATCACCAGTTAATTTGAATAATGGAAAATTAACAAAGTAAACATTATGGTAATCAGATATAACCCCTGTTATTGTCTGAAGTGATTCAATAGGCACAAAAACACTAATGATATAAACGGTGCTGACTTGAATGAATTTAAAAATAGCAATATGTGATGCAGAAGCTAGAAACCCTTCATATAAAAATCTAATATATAGACTTCAACTGTATATGTGTATATATGGCACGGCTACATTTCCTCATGGCACATTCCAGACATAATTACTGAGGTAAAAAAAAAATGTTACAGAATTACATGGAAATAAACATTATACTTACTTTTAGAGTACTTTTTGTGTTGTCTATATATATATATATTAATAAAACTTTATCTAATGAGTAATTTGTTTTTGTAATGTACTCAAGGAAACAATCATTTTGAACTGTATATAACTTACGGTAAGCAACAGTATAAAAAAATCTTCATGAATTAATCTAGGCTAATGTTAATTATTAAGATTACAAACTTTCTGAAACCTTACAGTGTATATTGCTTGTTAAATTAGCATTCAAGTTAAAAAGTTAAAGATGCACTGTACACGCAGAAATGAAAATAAATATTATTCTGTACTTGAAGCTTTAATTCAATTTAAATTATCAAAACAAATAATAATAATAACTGTGACGCCCACTGAAGAATAAGTGAGATGAAAGTGAAGTCATAACAACAGCACACATATAGTCAAACACACACAACTGAAGTTTCAGATATATTTGGATTATTAAATTTTGTTTAGATTCTAATGGATCAGCTTCATCATTTTGTCAATGAGACCTCACTCATAGCTTTCCATGTTATGCGATTATGTGAGGACGGAAGATAATAGTGTGTTATTTAGTGTTATTTAGACCTTGAAGAGAGAGAAAAAAAGAGCTACTTGACATGACGTGCTGATAACCGTTATTCTAATTTTGTTTAGTCGTTGGCAGGAAAAGGGAAGTAGATCAGCCACTACAACCCAGTTAAACCACTAGATGCTGACAGAGAAACAGAATGGCAGCGTACGCAACAGCAACAATACTCTACATTTCAATCGGGTTTTGGTTTATTTTGAGTGAGTATCACATGTTGTGGTCCATTTCTAGAGTATCCTATACATTCATTTATAACGACAGGTATAATGATCAGTTGTTGTTGCTTTTAGTGTGTTATATGTAATGATAGAACAAGTGATTTTGTCTTAGTCATGGACGCAGTAACAGTTGTGTGTTGTTTGTTTAGGTGCTGACAGCTACAATGAATTTTCAAATCAGGCGTTAACTGTTCAGCCTGGAGGATCTGTCACCATCCCATGTCATTATAATAAGCAATACACACAACTGAAGAAACATTGTTATTTAGAAACTGATAAATACACAAACACAAGAGAGAAGAATCTGTTAGTAATTGATCATCCTGATCAGAGTCTCTTTACTGTGACTATGAGGAACCTGCGGGAGAATCAAACTGGACTTTGTTATTGTGTTGTGGAGACTGGAGGAACGGGGACTGTTATATATCAGTTTTACCTCAAGGTTCAATATGGTAGAGTACAACAATTTAAATCTGATCTTATTCTCACATCTTTTGACTTCACACACAGTTTTTTATAATGTCTAATGTCTGCTGTCTGTGTGTTTCAGTTCCTGATGTGTCTGTGATGAGCAGCAGTGTATCTGGACATGAAGGTGATACTGTCAGTGTTCAGTGTTTCTACAGTTCTGGATATAAGAATGAACAGAAACAGTGGTGCAGATATAAAAATCAGAAGTGTTTCGGAGAGAAGAAGACTGACACATCAAAGAGTTCATCAGTGCAGATCAGTGATGATGGTAAAAGCTCCTTCACTGTGCTGATGACTGGACTGACACTTTCTGATTCTGGATGGTATTTCTGCTCTGTAGGAAACCAAATGATCCCTGTTCAACTCACTGTAACCCATACAGAATCAGGTAACATAATTAGTAAACATTGTGCTACTACCTATGGAATAAAACAACTAAAATTGCTCTGATTTCTACTTTTTCTACAGATAGGAATAATAAAGACAGGTGAGTTTTTATTTGCTTTACAACTACTATCATCAGTCAAAATGGGCTCATTTTCTAGAATTGTTCTATAATTATCTTTAATGTTGCTGAAATGTCTTTGTCTTAAATGCTAACATACGTACATCATCATTTGATCATTGCTTTTGTTTTTTTTTCTTCCTCACTTCTGTTTTTGCTGAAGTGACTTTTCCAAAATAAGACTGAAGTCATCAAAGAACCACAAACGTTATGTGCATTGCTTAACGAAATTTACCCCGAAAGAAAATCTCTGTCATCATTTCCTCCATCGTCATTCACTTGTTCAAAACCTGTTTGAGTTTCTTTCTGCTGTTGAACACAAAGCAGACATTTGGAAGAATTCTGAAAACCTATAACCATCGACTTCCATAGCATTTATTTAGGACGTCAATGGTTATAGGTTTGCAGCTGTCTTTCAAATATCTGCTTTTGTGTTTAACAGAAGAAATAAAACCCTACAGGATTGGAACCATATTAAAGTGATACAAATTTTACTTTTAAGCTGGTGTATTTCCAATGCCATAAGCTCTTTTTTGTTTCTAACTTTTAATGGGATTTTAAAAAATGTTCTACTTACACTTTTGTGTAAAATGGCAGTTAATTGTGACCAGCGTTAAGCTTCATAAAAAAAAGATGCAAAGTAGGAAATATTGATCCTATGTGAAAATATGCAGTGGAGTAAAGTAACTAATTACAAATACTAAAAATACTGTAATTGAGTAGTTTTTCTCAGGAATTACTTAGTTTTGAAAATGTGTACTTTTACTTTTACTTCAGTACATATTTAGTGCAGTATCTGTACTTTTACCCTATTATTTTCCTTCAACCTACAGTCACTACTTTATTTATTTGGTCTATGGGGATTGGTCGAGTAGAAAAATCCGTCCTGTGATCCCTGTCCAATCAAAACACACATTAAATGTAAATCCCATCCTACTGAACAACCTCAAGACATAAGAGCTTTGTAAAGCAAACCATTTGGAAGCATTAAAAGTGTCCAAGAAGATGTCGAAAATCTTTACACGCAACGACTGAGAGACTATTTAGACTGAATATCACTGACGAGAAGATAAAGGATGTTTACTGTAACGGCCTTAAACAAGATCTAAATGCCCTACAGAATGTTACGTTTACACACACACATGCATAAATTGCATGTACACGCTTTAATGTTTCACAATACTCGCTACTCTTCAGTGGTGTAAAGTAACTAATTACAAATACTCAAATGACTGTAATTGAGTAGATTTTCTCAGAAATTGTAATTTACAAAGTAGTTTTATAAATGTGTACTTTTACTTTCCCTTGAGTACATTTTTACAGCAGTATTGGAACTTTTACTCCACTACTTTCCTTCAACCTGCAGTCACCAGTGGTGGAAAGAGTATTGAAAAATCATACTTAAGTAAAAGTACCATTACTTACCTAAAAATTTAGTGTAAGTAAGGTAAAAGTATCTGTTGTAAATTGTACTTAAAGTATGAGTAAAAAGTAGCCCTTTTAAAAGTTATTACGCTGTTAAAAGCTGATGTGTTTACATGTAATTTGTGTATGTGTGTAAACATAACATTCTGTAGTGCATCTAGTTATTGCTCAGCAGCTACACGCCATATGAGGTTAAAATAAGGTTAGATTTAGGCCGTGATGTCAGGTGACCAAAATCCAACATCTAGCCAGTGTCTAAGGACAACGTTATTTTGATGTCCAATAACGATGTAAATATTTGGTCGTTTTTAGGTTGTTAGAAAGGGACCAAAATCCAACGTCGAGCCAGCAACTTAAACCAACGTCATATTGACGTCAAATACTGACATTTATTCATCAGGTATGGCAAACAAAATCCAACATCTGAAAGACGTCAACCAGGCAAACAAAATCCAACATCTGATAGATGTCAACCAGGCAAACAAAATCCAACATCTGATAGATGTCAGCCAGGCAAACAAAATCCAACATCTGATAGACGTCAACCAGGCAAACAAAATCCAACATCTGATAGACGTCAACCAGATTTTCATTTCCAAACAAAATTTCCCCATGACTTATGGTACAACGTCAATCTGACGTCATGTTGACATCTTGTGCCTGCTGGGTGTTCAAGAACATTCCGGTCCTCCTACAGTAAACATCCATCATCTTTTCATCATTGACATGCGTCTAAACAGTCTCTGGGTTATTGCGTGTAAAGATTTTACCAATTTTACTGATCTACCCGCCCATCCGCTCGCTTCCCTAAACCTGAGCAACAGTTCACAAAAGCCGTCCAAAAAAATAAAAGCCCTGATTTTTTTATTCCACCGCGTTTTCGGATTTCGCCATGTTCTCACCCTGTCACGAAACTCGTTCACTTACTTTTTGGGATTCTGTTTTTGTCTTACCTGAACTTGCTGGAACTGCTCTTCCCTGGACTCGAAACCGGTCGCCTCCTCTCTGCATCTCGAGCCTGCCGACGTACACGCTGAGCTGAGTGGACAAACGGGTTGCAGCGGGGAAGCCCTCCACAAGGAGCTAAGGCAAGCGCGAAAGAGAACAGTGTCACACCGCCCCGCAGCGTTCGCTTGAAAAAAATTTACGTGGCCGTACGTACCTCCCGGGATGTATTCTGCTGTCTCCAGAAACGTCCGCGGGACTACGTTTTCAGAATGAGCTTGGGTTGGATATGGACTGATTTTTAGAAAGTGACTGGTGCACGTGACTAGAATAGTGTCAGAGATTGGTGTTTTCTCTTTAGGGGGGTTTTTTAAAACTTTTTCTCCTTTCGATTTCCGTCCAGAGATGAGAAACTTTCGCCCGTGTGGTTTTTTGCTTTAGCTCCAGTTCTTCTGATTTCATTGATTCTGGTTGGTGTTTTCATCTTTAAATGGAGACGGAGACCTAGTCAGTACTTCATTTTATTTCATATCTTTCCATATTTGAATATTTTATAACAGCACTGAATCTGCATGTATGAATGATGCTAATGTCATATCATGTTGTTTCATCTCTTTAAAACAGAGCAAGATGAACATCAATTAAAAGAAAGGAACAGCAGCAGAACCACTGATGACGTAAGTCTTTTTATTACAGTGTTTAAATTCATTTATAAATTTTTCTTCAGCTTAGTCCTTTATTTATCAGGGATCGCCTCAGCGGAATGAACCGCCGACTATTTCAGCATATGTTTTACACAGCAGATGCACAAGTCGCAACCCAGTACTGGGAAACACCCCTGCACATTCATACACTAAGGCCAATTTTGTTTATTCAATTCACTTCTAACGCATGTCTTTGGAATTTGGGGGAAACCGGAGCACCTGGAGGAAACCCACGCTGACGAGGAGAACATGCAAACTCCACACAGAAACGCCAACTGACCAAGCTGGGACTTAAACATGAGACATTCTTGTTGTGAGGCGACAGTGCTACAGTATTTGATTTGATTTTGTCCTTCATTTTAACATTCTAAAATTACTGCCTGAGTATTCTAGTTTCGGAAGCTGGGATTGTTGATAATATTTAGGAAATGAGTAAACTAATTGGATCGAGGGCTCTAAGAGCTTGTAGCAATAAATTGTTGAGTAGTCTAGCCAAGCAAGCTTTAATACTCCAAAATTTTGCTTCAATTAAAAATAGTTTGTCATGAATTGAGATATGAATTAGAAACTTTTCAGAGATACGTTTAAGAGAACCTATTTTAATTCCCATTAGAAAAATAAAGTAAAAATGATACAGGACTCTTGGTTTCCCTCTTCTGGTCAACACAAACAACAAATGTTAGAATCCACTTTCTAATGTGTCAATAATCTTAGCACCAGTTGAAAATACAACTGAAAATACAACTACAAATCCCATAAAAAAGCAGTACGAAAAGTATGAGAAAACACAAAGTACTGCTTTTTTATGCGATCTGTAGATTATTGAGTCATATGTTGACATTTCTCTTTTGTTTTGTGTAAAATGCAGATCTCCTCTAAACATGATGATCTTGCTGTATACTGCTCTATAAATGATGAAACCCCATATGTAAGTAAACCAGACATGCCAGTAATGCAATATCATACATTAAAGTTAACAGTCAATGAACATCTCATATTTACCATTTAGTCCATTTCTCCACTGGATCCCAACAAGAACATGAACTACAGTACTATTGATTATATTCCTGGGAGTGAAGCCGTAAGTTTTTATAAAAGATCTGACATTTTAGTTCTGACAGTGTATTTACTGTACTTGCACTTCCAGAAGAGTTCAGCAGGAAGAGATGTTTACAGCACTGTGGGTCCACACTGAGAAAAACACAGATTCTACTGTCTGATAGCAAAGAACTAACACGACTGCTTCTTTTAGCTTAGTTTTATTTAATGTTTAAGGGTGTGTTCACACTTGGCTGGTTTGATGTATGTAGTGTACCTGTCCTATGCAACTCTTGCATTTCTTTGTATGGAGAGAGACTCTGATTGGAGATCTTCTCATAACTCTGAATAAAGCATGTTCAAAAGTCTTTTCTGAATCTGTCTTATTAGTTAGTGGACAACTAAAAGATCTCATTTCCCAAATTAGAGTTTCTAAAGGCATAAGATGTCGACCGACTGTCTGGAGATCACTGAATATTAATTCAGTAAGTTTGGAGTTAATGTAGTGTAAAATACCTGTCTATCTTTTCAATTTCTGTGGCGAGAGTTTGCTGATAAAATTGAATTAGATCAGTAGTTTCATATTACCCACACAACCCTAACCCAAGCCTCCGGGCAACCCTAACCCCCAAGGCTCCGCAGGGTTGGTGGGCCTGGCAAGCAGGAGTAGGAGGAGGAGGAGGAGGAGGGTTGATTTCGCTCTCCCTAAGCCCTCCGGCCACAGACAACTAACCCTAACCCCCAACGTCCCCAACCAACAACCCCAACCCTCAACGGCCACAACCTTTACCCCAAACCCCAAGACGGTTGGTGGCAGTGGTGGTGGTGGTGGTGCAAACATGATTTCTGTTAACACGAAAATTAATGTTATTTTGTACCTGAAGCTTTAATTCATAAATTCTAAATGATTAAAAAATCGAACTGTAATCACCTACTCAAGTACAAGTGAAATATGAATGTTATTTTCCTTTATTAATACTCAATGTGTTTCCTCTTATGTCTAAACTTGATCAGCGCTAGATGAGAGGCGCTTTTTGTTTCCACTGAAGCTGAGATGTGAGTGAAACCACAACAGCACACATATAGCCAAACATACTCAAGTGAACTTTCAGATACTTTTAGGTCAGAATATTAAATGTTGTCTTTATTCTCATGGATCAGCTTCATCATTTTGTCAATGAGACTTCATTTTTAGCTTTTCATGTTGTTAATCATGTGAGGACAGAAGAACACAGTGTGTGAGTTGTTTAGACCTTGAAGTAGACCTTAAAAGGAGCGAGTGAGAACTACTTGACACAATGTGCTGATAACCTTTATTTCAATTTTGTTTAGTCATTGGCAGGAAAGGGAAGTAGATCAGCCACTACAACCCAATTAAACCACTCAGACACAGACAGAGAAACAGAATGACAGCGAACACAATGGAAAATATCCTCTACATTTTAGTCTGGTTTTGTTTCATTTTGAGTGAGTATAAATAAATGTATAGGCTATGTTAGAAATAGAGCACATAATGTAATAATAGACAGATATAAGGATCAGTTGTTGTTGCTTTCAGTGTGTTATATGTAAGGATAGAACAAGTGATTTTGTCTTAATCCTGGATGTATTAACAGTTGTGTGTTTGTTTAGGTGCTGAAAGCCTCAGCTGTTGGTCACGCTGTACAATAACTGTTCAGCATGGAGGATCTGTCACCATCCCATGTTATTATGATAAGAAAAACCCACCGCAGAAGAAATACTGGTATACAGAAATTGAAGAATATCATAAATCCACAAACACAACAGAGAAGAATCTGTCAGTAATAGATCATCCTGATCAGAGTCTCTTCACTGTGACTATGAGGAACCTGCAGGACAAACAATCTGGACGCCATTTTTGTGCCTTGGAAACTGGAGGACAAGAGACTGTTATATATGAGTTTTACCTCAAGGTTCAGTTTGGTAGAGTTGAAAATTTAAAATCTCTAAACTTTTTCACTTTTTTTTTTCTTCACACACATCCATTTTATTTTGTTGGATGTCTGCTGTCTGTGTTTCAGCTCCTGATGTGTCTGTATTCAGCAGTGTATCTGGACATGAAGGTGGTAATGTCAGTGTCCAGTGTTTCTACAGTTCTGGATACAGGACATTACAGAAACAGTGGTGCAGATATAAAGATCAGAAGTGTTTCACAGAGAAGAAGACTGACACATCCCAGAATCCATCAGTGCAGATCAGTGATAATGGTGAAAGATGCTTCACTGTGCTGATGACTGGACTGAGACTCTCTGATTCTGGATGGTATTTCTGCTCTGCTGGAGATCGCATCATTCCTGTTCAACTCACTGTAACCACTTTAGAATCAGGTAAAATAATTAATAAACATTACGCTAATACCTGCAAAATAAAACAACTAAAATTGCTCTGCTTTCTACTTTTTACAGTAAACATTAACACAGATTCAAATAATGAAGATGGGTGAGTGTTCATTTGTTTTACAATTATTATATCAGTCAAAATGGGCTTGTTTCAGTTTTCCTGGAATTATCCAATAATTATCTGTTATGTTTTGATGCTCTTTTTCTAAAATGTCTTTGTCATATAGTACATAATCATTTGATCATTGCTTTTGGTGTTTTTTTTTTTCTTCCTCCTTTCTGTTTTTGTTGAAGTGACTTTTCCGAAATAAGACTAAAGTCATTGAAAAACCACAAACGTTCTCTATGTGTATTGCTAACAGAATTTACCCGTAATGGAAAATTCTGTCCTTGTTTCCTCGCCGTTCACTTGTTCAAAACCTGAGTTCATTTCTTCTGTTGGACACAAAAGCAGATATTTGGATACTTCCATAGAGCATTTATTTTGGACTTAAATGCTTAAAGGGTTTTAGCATTCTTCCAAATATCTGCTTTTGTGTCCAACAGAAAAAAAGAAACCCCTACAGGTTTGAGAGCCATATTAGAGTGTGTAAATAGAGGATTTTTAACCTAGTCTATTTCTAATGCCATAAGATCTTTGTCACGATAACCAGCGATCCTTTCTGGCAGATCGCTGGTGAACTACAGATACTGCTTAAGAACTACAAATCCCTTCAGGCCCTGTCACACACACCAGATGCTTATGACACACACACCAGATGCTTATGACACACACACACACAGCTGGTACTTGTATCACTGATCATTTGGATTATATATTCACCACACTCACACACACATTAGTTTATGATAGAGTCTTTCTGTCACATGCTGGGATAGAAGTGAGGAACATCAGAGACGAGGATCTAAGTGAAGGTAAAATAAGATTATATTTAAAAGTGGCTGGTACAAAAAGGGCAATCCAAAAACACGGTCAAAAAACAAACATAAGTAGTAATGAGACGTTGTGCGCCGAGGCTTCGAAGCATGTATCAAAAAAACGATGCATCTCGCAGTGAAGCAGTGCACCAGAGCATGATTCGTTTTGCCATAATCACTTGATCAGTGACGTCCGAAGCTACGTGACTGCTTCGAATTTTGATTCAAAGGTTTAAGCACTCTCATGGGTAAGTAATGTGTATAGTGAGAGATTAGGCATCGATTACATACATGTTTTACAGTTTCAAAACACTGCACCGGTCCCTCACACCAGTAATTAAACTAAAATACAATAGTAATTTATAGTAAAAAGGTTTTGAACCATCCTAAAGTTCTTAGCGTTTTTTTTTTTTACAACTATCTTTTAAAAAAAAAAACACTTCATATCGTAGTATAGTGTTTAACAGAGACTAGCTGGCGAGTGCAATTCTTAAGCATCACTCGCATGGCCTCCTCCTTAGAGCATTCGCCTTACATGCAGGAATCGCTGGTTCGATCCCTGCTTGGAACAGGTCTAGTTGGGACATGATAAATGTAAACACTTTTGAATACCTTGGATTTTACTACAGTCATCGGTGGTGTAATGTAACATACCTTATGTGTAAAAACTACAGTTATTGAGTAATTTGTTAATATTAGTTGTATTACTACATGAATGAGTTGGTCAGTTGTGAACATTTGACATTTTTGCAACGCAGTGTTTTCCTACACTTTAACCAGCAGAGGTCCTCATCGAGCTCTGATTTAGAAAGCTTCATGTAACGAACCTTTTTCCAATACAATTGAGTCAAGCACTTCACTGGTTTAGAAAGCTTAATTTTACCATCACTAGACAAGGTCGTACTAGGTGGTAAAACAGGAAAAACGATAACAAGGCAATGATAAAAATGACAAAACAAGATACTAGAACAAGCAATGTATGTACATCAAAGACTCTGTCATAAGCTGGTGTGTGTGTGGTGTGTATATATATTCCAAATGATCAGTGATACAAGTCTCAGCTGTGTGTATGTGTCATCAGCCGTGATCAGCATCTGGTGTGTGACAGGGCCTGAAGGAATTTGTAGTTCTTAGCAGCATCTGTAGTTCACCAGAGATCTGTCAGGAAAGATTGTGACACCCTTATTTTGTTTATAACTTTTAATGGGGTGTAAAACATGTTCTGCTTACACTTGTCTGTATAATGGCAGTTGATAGTGACCAGCTTTAAGCTTTTGAAAAAAAGATGCAAAAGTATTGGTAAGATAGGATTTGGTAAAACAAACTAATCTTGACAGCTGGTTTCTGTAAATGTTGCTTATAAGTTTCTAATACTGTCTATTTAATCCAATTTCACTCAGACTTGTCTGTGTAAATAAAAATACAACATGAAATACAATACGGGTTGTATTTCGTTGCATACAACTACTGTAATGCATTAACAAAAGTATGGTCAAAATTTTACTCGTAGGTTGTTGTATTTAAGTTTGAAGAAACTTCCGGTTTCTCCCAGTCCAAAGACATGTGGTATAAGTGAATTGGATTAACTAAATTGGCCGTAGTGTATGTGTGTGTGTGTGAACGTGAGAAAGTATGAGTGTTTCCCAGTTCTGGGTTATGGCTGGAAGGGCATCTGCTGTCTAAAACATATGATGGATAAGTTGGCAGTTCATTCCTCTGTGGCGACCCCCGATAAATAAAGGACAAAGCCAAAGAAAAATGAATGAATGGACGAAAACAAGTCGTGCAAAGTGATTTGCTGGTCCATTCACATGTAAACATTGTTTTCCTTATTGAGTCCCTGCAAGATGGAGTTTAAGTAAAGCGTCTGGTACATATGGAGGGAAGAGTGCAATGTTTTTCAAGAAATATTGAGTGATTGTTTAAAAGTGTGCACGTGACTAGAAAAGTCAGAAATTATTATTATTATTTTTTTTCAACAGCTTTGGTTTATTACTTTCCACTTTTTTTCTTTTCATTTTCCCTCCAGAGATGAAGAACTTTCGCCCGTGTGGTTTTTAGCTTCAGCCCTAGTTCTTCTGATTTCATTTATTGTGGTTGGTGTTTTTATCTGGATATGGAGACATAGACCAAGTCAGTATTTCATTTTATTTCATATTCAATTTTTTTGTAATTTTTTTTCAACACCTCTGAATCTTACAGAAATGATGCTAATGATATTGTTTCCCCTTTTTAAAACAGTGCAAGATGAACATCAATTAAAAGAGAGGAACACTAGTAGGACCACTGATGAAGTAAGTCTTTTATTTCAGTATTTACAGTATTTGCTGTCCCATTTTTTTTTCTTCTAACAATCTCTAAATTATTGTAAATCTCTGAAATAAATATACAGGGATGTCATGCAAATGTGTGTGTATGCTGAACATTAACACATGCATGAAAATCTTTACACATTTCTTACATGAAAAGTCATATAATATAATATAATATAATATAACATAATATAATATAATATAATATAATATAATGAACAGAATCTCTCTCTAATCCCTGATTATTAAATGAATTAAACTGTTTTATCAGTATTTCATTGTTGTGGTTATTTGTCATACATGAAGCTCATTTAATAGATAATGAGAAAATGCACATGTATGGATTGTTTAGCATGCATTGACTCACATGATGAAATAATGTTAATAAAGTTTCAAGCAAGAAAGCCTCTGCATGCATTTAGACATTCTCAAATTGTTCTTTTGTGGCAAGGCTTGTTCATTTTGAGTTTAAGTCAAGTTTTTTTGTATGAAAAAACAGTGGAACAAAATATTTTGTCTTGCAGGACTACGGTGCTGCATAAATAAACAATAATAAATATGAAATAAATGGTAATCAAAGTATACCTATTATACATGTAATACAAATGCTTAACTATACACATAACCACAGACTATACAAGTGATTTTACATAAGACAGAACAATATTGTGCAAGATATTATACAAAAAAAAAAGAAGGTATTTAAGGTTAAAGCTGCTCTATGTGAGTTTTTGACTCTTCTAAAGCATAAAAATACCATAATATGTTTGCAGATATTTACAAAACAGAACAAGTGAACATTATTGTTTATCTAAAAAAACAATGCTGAAGTCAGACATTCTGCTTTTGAAAATGTGAGTTACATGCCAGAATGTCTGTCTTTGTTTTGGTCTTTTAATCCACCCACTGCCAGTTAGCCAATTATATTTCAGCACCCCAAGTTGCCTTGAAAACAGCATATATAGTTCAAGCACTGGGTGTCAAACTTGCATACTGCACCTTTAAAGAAAACAAGTAGTGCAACATGATTTGTGGTCCATTCACAAGTCAACATTGTTTTCATTAAATCCTTGTAAGGATAGAGTTTAAGTAAAATGTCTGGTGTAAATATAGAGCAGAGTGTTTTTACAGATGGTTTGTCAAGCCCACTCGCCTGTATGAGGCACACACAGAAATGCACAATGTGTTTTTCTAGAGATATAGAGTGATTGTTAGAAGGTGTCAAGTATCTGGAAGAGTGTTTTCTACAGGTGGTTTGTCAAGCCCACTCACCTGTTCATGCTGCACAGGTCATAGCAGAATCTTTTGAGGTGCCAGGGGCTCCTGGATTTGTCAGCTGGGATTATGGATAGTATTTTAGAGGGGGGTAAAATGATTGGATTAAGGGCTATTTATACTTGTAGAAAAAAAAAACTGTTGAATATTCTAGCCAAGCGAGCTTTAATACTCCAAAATGAAGCTTAAATGAAAAATAATTTAAGATGAATTGAGACATGAATGAGAAACTAACTTTTCAGAGTTTTGTTTAAGAGAGAGGTGACATGGTGGCTCAGTGGTTAGCACTGTTTCCTTACAGCAAGAGGGTCTCTGGTTCAAGTCCCAGCTGAGTCAGTTGGCATTTCTGTATGGAGTTTGCATGTTCTCCTTGTGTTGGTGTGGGTTTCTTCCGGGTGCTCTGGTTTACCCCAAAGTCCAAACACATGCGCTATAGGTGAACTGAATAAACTAAATTGGCCGTAGTGTATGTGTTTACATATGAGAGTGTATGGGTGTTTCCCAGTATACTGTTGCAGTTGGAAGAGCATCTGCTGTGTAAAACGTGCTCAATAAGTTGGCGGTTTATTCCACTGTGTTGAGCCCAGATAAATAAAGGGACTAAGCCAAAGGAAAATGAATTGAAGTTTGAGAGAGCTCATTTTAATTCCCATTAGACAAATTTAAACAAAAATGATGCAGGACTCTCTTGGTTTCAATATTGAACACAATGTTAGGATGTACTTTCAGATGTGTCAGTAATCTCAGCACCAGTCAAAAGTTGTTTTCATGTTCTGCTTAATTCCATGCGATTTGTGGTTCAATATGGGCCTACTCACACTAAGCTATCCATACCGTGCCCAGGCCCGTTTCCCGGATCGTTTGAGAAGTGTGAGTGCTCTGAATCGGGCTCAGGCACGGTTCACTTGGGCTTTGGGGCGGTACGCTTGTGTGTGAGTGCAAAACGCGCCAAAGCCCAAAACTAAAAGCGCAACGTCCTTTTTAAGAGACTGTTTGATATGGGTTTATTAATCATTCTTACTGTTCAGTGAACGCAAACTATCATACTTTATTAAAGACGCAAACCCCTCACTGCACGACAGCTGTACCTTCAGCAAACATTCCTGCAGAACAAGGGCTTTATGATTGTTTATGAGCGTCAAAAGTGGCTGTTCGGCGAAATATCTGACTGCGTGTCACCGCATCCCAAGCGATATAACAGAAGAAATCCCCACTGTGCTGAGTAAGAGCACTTCTGACCACCAGCGCATCATCTATGACGTAAGTGTACCCAGGCCTGATTGTAATGTGAGTGCGGGACGTCGGGGGAGACGGGAGGGGGGACAAGGATGTTTTGGCCCTGTTCGAGGCAACTGTACAATGTGTGATGTGTATGGCCTAAGTGAGTCAGATGTTGACATTTCTCCTTTGTTTTGTGTAAAATGCAGATCTCCTCTAAACATGATGATCTTGCTGTATACTGCTCTATAAATGATGAAACCCCATATGTAAGTAAAGCAGACACACCACTAATGCAATATCATACATTAGAGTTAACAGTCAATGAATATCTCATATTCACCATTTAGTCCATTTCTCCACTGGATCCCAACAAGAACATGATCTACAGTACTATTGATTATATTCCTGGGAGTGAAGCTGTAAGTTTTTACAAAAGATTTGACATTTTAGTTCATGTAGATATATTGTATTGCTGACAGTGTATTTACTGTACTATGATATTACACTTCCAGAAGAGTCCAGCAGGAGGAGGTGTTTACTGCTCTGTGGGTCCACACTGAGAAAACACAGATTTTACTGTCTAACAGCAAATGAATAACACGACTGCTTCTTTTAGCTTTATTTTATTTAATGTTTAAGGGTGTGTTCACACTTGGCTGGTTTGATGTATGTAGTGTACCTGTCCTATGCAACTCTTGCATTTCTTTGTTTGGAGAGAGACTCTGATTGGAGATCTTCTCATGACTCTGAATAAAATATGTTCAAAAGTCTTTTCTGAATCTGTCTTATTAGTTCTTGGAAAACTAAAAGATCTTATTTCCCCTAAGTGTGAGTTTCTAAAGGCAAAGGATGTCCTCCGATTGGAGATCACTGCTGATTAATTTAGTGAGGTATTTCATAGTGTGTAATAGCTCTGTCTAGTTTTCTTGACAAGACTAAGCTGAAAAAATGTACTCCAATCAATAGTTTAATATTTTATTATTAGTCAAAAACATGATAGTTTCTGTTTATTATTAAACTTTATCTTTATTTACGGTTGTTTGATCTATAGTGAGCAGGGTTTGGTGCATAAGGGTGCATGGAAAATCATAGCATACACATACATGTTAGGTAAAAACTTAAAGTTGTAAATGATTAATAACAAAATAGTTTTTTAAATATTTTACTGATTACTATGTCTAAAAGTATTTAATTACTCGATAAGGATTAGTCAATACTTAAAATCCCTATATATCTTAAAGATACAGTACACTGCCAATGGCTAAACTAGGTATTGCATGTCAAAATTCAAAACACTTTTTCACCAGGCGGCTTCTCAGACGACTCCATGCAAATACAGGTTGCTAGATTGATGACACTAACAGTGTACCTGACTATGATGCCTATATGATGTCCTAACTAAATATACAAATTTCCTTATTAAAGGCAGGTATTTGTTCTAACCCTCACCTAAAATTTCTACTTTAGATATGGTTTCTTGCAGCAGAATAACAGAATACAGTTGAACACCTCAGGTACTGATTATGTGCTTTTTTTTTCATGGTTAAATGCTAATGCTGCTGGTGTGCAGGGGCGCACCCAAGTGCCACGGCCACCCCTGTGTAAACTCTGGCCACCCTAATCTGATTTTGCTGTTGATATTATTAATTTAAATGTACTTGCATAAATTCACATTATTTCAATAAATAAATATATAGCAGCTATTAAATTGTTGTGGATTGATTGGTGGTACTGGCCCCTGGCCTATAAATAATATGAAAAGTATTTTTAAACTAAATATTGACATTTTTGATTTAATTGAATTTATAGGTTTTTTAGGAATATATAGCGATATTTCAAGAATAATTAATTAAATAAATTAAATCCACATTATTTCATTTACCAGAAACAAAAATATAACATTACACTGATTTCTTAAATTGGTTTTAGTGTGCCACCCCAAGATTTGATGCGACCTCTCTTGGCCAGCCCTAAGAAAATTTTCTGGAGGCACCAAGGCTGATGTGAACTTAAATAAATCTGCTGCTGCTTTCCGTATTGCGGTAAATTTCATTAAAAACTTTTTTTTTTTTTTAAGTAAGTTTATTTAAGTATTTAACTTTATTTTAGACTTATTTAAAATTAAACATTAGAACTGTGACTCAGCATGTACTGTACTTTTAAATATATTTAAAAGCTTCAATATATTGATTAGATTCTAAACATTTGCATTTCTTTGAAGAGCAGTTTATTATTTTGAGCTTCTGAAAGGCTGTATTTACACATGTTGATGGAACACACAGTGTAATCTGCTCAGCTAATGTTTATGTTTGTAATATTTTTATTAATTGTTAATCAACAACCACCTCATATTGATTTCTATATGAATCTGCATCTCATTTTGGAGGCTGCTGCTGTCCTCCAGTGATCGCTATATTGATTGCAGACGCATACATCGATGCAGCCTTCATGACTAAAATGAAATGCGCTCTGTTTTCCACCAAAGCAACCTGGAATGCTGAAATATAATGATAACTGGCAGTGGGCTGGTTACAGAGAGCAAAACAAAGACAGACGTTCCAGCACAGAACACACATTTTCACAGAAGAATAACTCAAATTCACATGATCAAGTAGATCACTTAATATGTTTATTAAATATCTCTAAACATATTGTGATAATTTTTAAGCTCAACAAGAGTCAAAAACATACATACAGCACCTTTAATGTGTATACAATTAAACTAGGAATAGGAATAAAACTCAATTCATGCTTAAAATAATTTATAATGTTGCTGCCCATTTTACTTTTTTAAGTTTTTGAAAAAGAGATTACAAATCTAAAGAGGTTTTGTAGGTAAAATATAGTTTTAAGTATTAAAAAAACTATTTTAAAGTTTCAAAGCATGTGCAATCATTTAGTTGGAAAAAAAAAAGAATTAATCGGCAGAGCATATTTGTTTTAAGTAACAGTTTCAACAACACAGTTATAACACAGGAATTACAAGAGGGTGGTTAATTATGATGCTCCAATTTCTTAAAGCTTATAAATCATATGAGAATATAAATTTTATCAGTTTGTTTGTTTGTTTGTTTCGAAAGTAAAACTGTACTCAGTTTCCTGTGGGAGTTGCATTTACGAATATAGGGATGGAAAAGGGCCAATAGAAAATACAGCTTGTACAGTATAAAATCAATGGAAACCTAAAGGCCCGTGCACACCGAGACGTTATTTGCTCGCGTTTTCCGTCGACGTTTAATGCCTCGCGACTAAATAACGGGCATCAATGTGACTGTGCACATCAACGCGCTAAACGCCAGGCGCAAAATAGTCATTTTAAAAAGAAACGCCTCATGCTCGTTTTTTTGTTTTGACGTGCCACGTCAAAACCTTTTCCACCAATCAGATCGACACTTTTGTTCACCTGCACGGAGCTGCTGAAGTTACAGTAAACAGCACTAGGAGGCGCTCAAGCGCAAAACTGTCAATGCGAGTGCACACTGAAGAAGACACCCAGAGGTGATATGAACGTGAAGCTGCTTATTGCTCTTGTGAACACGAATCATTTCTTTTTAGCTAGAGCTGGAGCTGCTGCTTGAATAATCCATGCTTGTTCAAGTCACCAGTAACTTTATCAACAATCGTGTAAACTGAACTTCCTCTTCTTCTCTGTTATAATCGGGGTGTCAGAAGTCCATCTAATGTCAAAAGAGTGATTTTGGATACTCTTCAGCTTGACACAAGTGAAAAGCGCTTGGGTTTGAACACTGAAAAACGTCTCGGAAAACGCTGACGATAAACACAAACGAAAAGCATCCCAGTGTGTAGGAGCCTTAATGCCCCCATGTTTCACAAAAACAAGCCTGCGTGTGTGTGTGAGTGAGTGTGCGTGCGTGCGTGCTGTCTTCTATCTTGTATTCTAGTAATGCTTATTTTTTAGTGTTAGACTGGCAGTATCTGTGCTGATACGCTACTTTTGAATATCATAAGCAGAAAAAGGAAGCATTTTGTTTGCCTTTGTCTGCTGTGGATTACCATTTGACAAAAACATGGCAGACATTACCTTTGCTTTTGAATTTTGTGGGTTTTTTTTTTTTGTCTGACAAGTCTTGCAAGCGGAAACTTTTTTTCTTTTTTTTTTCTGCAAGCTCATTTCAGGAACCGCTGCAGCCACAACACATTTAAACCCCACACATGGTCTGTTTACTATTAGAATTATTATTAGTTCATTATTATTCATTCATTCTTTTTCTTTTTTCTGCTTAGCCCCTTTATTAATCTGGGGTCACCACAACAGAATGAACCGCCAACTTATCCAGCATATGTTTTATGTAGCAGATGCCCTTCCAGCTGCAATCCATCACTGGGAAACACCCATGCATTCTCATTCACACACATACACTACAGAAAATGTATATTCCTTACATTCAGTTTATTATTCCAAACTCCATCTGTAGACAAGAGGAAAAAAAATAAATATATAACAAGCGGCATGTATCGTTTACTTAATGTCTAGCATTTAATCAGCATTTATAAAATACACTGTAAAAATATCCATAATTTAGCAGTTTTCCATATTTTGTGATTCATGTTTTGTTTTTCGCAATTTATTTATGCTTTTAAATCGCATTAAGGGACCTTGATCTTTCTACAAACAACTTTGAACCCAGAAAAGACTTTTATTAACTTTTCTAATAGTGCTAATAGTATAAGTGCTAACGTTGTAAACGGAAGTTCTAAATGTTTAACCAGAAGACGCTGGTCACTATGGCGCCCTCCATGCAGCAGCCAAGAAAAAGGTCTATAATTGTATAGAGTAGGGGTGTACGTATAAATATCAGTATTTGAAGTCATTATGACTTTGGTTTAAGATGCTGGCTCGACGTTGGATTTTGTTCACTTGCCAACACAACCTAAAAACAACCAAATATCAACGTCATTTGACGTCGTTATTGGATGTCAAAATAACTCTGTCCTTAGATGCTGACTATACGTTGAATTTTGGACACCTGACATCACAACCTAAATCTAACCAAATATTAACGTTGTATGATGTCGTGTGCCTGCTGGACAATAACTAGATGCACTACAGAATGTTACGTCTATGCACATATACAAATGACATGCAAATGCATCAGCTTTTCACAGCGTAATACTCACTACTCTTGAGTACTTTAAAAGATCTACTTTTTACTCAAACTTTGAGTAATATTTAAAACATATAATTTTACTCTAGTTGCACTACATTTTAGGCAAGTTATGGTACTTTCATGAATTTTCAGTACTGTTTCCACCACTGGCCACGTCCACAATAATACGCTTTCATTTAAAATTGTCTATTCATCTCTCTGTTTTGGCCATCCGTCCACAATAAGATTGCTTTTTCAGGAAACAAAAAATTTTATTTAAAAAAAAAAAACGCTTTCCAAAGTGAATACATTTGAAATGTTTTAGCATTGCAGTGAGGACTGTGAAAGCAAAGGCTTTCAAAAACAATTATGCATTTAATTATGTGTCCAATTCAGCTAACATTGTTGACTACATTGGAAAGCAGATGTTTTGGATGCTTTTAATTTTGACAGCTCTTTACTATTAACTTCTGGTACATTTTTAGCTCCTGATGCGTCTGTGGTGAGCAGCAGTGGATCTGGACAGGAAGGTGATAATGTCAGTGTCCAGTGTTTCTACAGCTCTGGATATAAGGCTAAAGACAAACAGTGGTGCAGAATTGAAGAAAATGGCTGTTACACACCTCAGAATACATCAGTGCAGATCAGTGATGATGGTGAAA